AATTTGTCTTGTTCTTACAACTAGTATTGAGAAATCTTTTATTTCAAATGACGCCAAAGTCAACCTTAACTGGTCTCCAAGGCCACGCAAAAATTTGTGACAATTTTCTTTCTCAGCACTGAATTAGTTGTGTGGATATCTCGAAAAAGAAATAAATCCAACCTCATATTGCATAATTTTCTTTAACCCTTGAGTCAAATTGAAGAATTTATCTCACAGTTGTAAGCTTGCTGAAGGTGAGATTAACCAATCCTTGAACGCTTTAACAAACTTGGCCTGCCAAATCTATGAAAGAGGTGTAAGTCCGAACTTCTTTCTATTCTGTGCCTGCCACCATCTGCCTGCCCCGCTTTCAGGCATGAAAGTGGCTTGCACCACTCTCCTATTCTATGGACAAATTATGTCATCCAAAATTTTTTCGATCTTCAATTAACCTGTTTTCAACAATAATAGGATCACTGACATCTTTAAATTCTGGTTGGTTGAATTTCTAAAATATCTTCAAATAATGATCAACTTCTGTACCAGATTCGATTCTGAGTTCAGAGCTGGTGGATGATTTTTCAATGAAAATCATTTTATGAATTACTTATGATATTAGTTGAACAATACCTTGTAATTTTGTGGCTCTGGTTTTTTCATTTGTCTTGTTCTAATTATCATTTTTGTTCAATATATTTTCAGTTTGTACTTCTTGCTCTGCAATTGACCTAAGAGACCGACCCTCAGTACTTTTTGATTTTTCTTTAAGCATATTCATATTTATTCACAAAATTTATTAAAATATAATTTATCACACCATAATTATGTCATGCATGCATGATACCTCAAATCATATGAGTATCCCATATCAATCAACCCATAGTTCTGTATAAATCAATTCATATTTAATCTCATTCTTCAACAACACGCTTCCATCATTTTTTTTATCAAATAACTTTGCTCTGATATCACTTTCTGAGATACTCTAACTGACCTGTCTTTTGGGTCATTCATGCTAAGACAGAGGTAGATGATTGGGTCAAATTAAATTCTCACCCGCACTTGCCCTGACTTGTATAATCAGGACATAGTAGCTGATGAACTAGTCTAATTAAATCGCCCCAGACATAGATAATGCATTTCATTTCATGATTCATTTTTATTTATGTACTTGGAAGCATGAAACTCATATCATCAAAAATATATATTAAATCTAACATGAAGAAATGCTTACCCAAAAGTCTGTATACCCTTCAAAATTATACCGTGCGAAAATTGTACACGTCACATCTGACTTTTCACCCTAAAGCTCCCTACCCATTCCTGAAAATTAACATAGAGTGATCTATAGGCTCATTAAAATAATAAAGGCTAAATAAAAAAATTTATAGATGAAAAATAAACAATGTGCATGATTATATGCAACTCATGTACATGTCTACATCACATGTCACAATATGTTGTAGCCGTTTTATACGTATAAAAGAAAAAACATGTAGTGTACACAAACATGACAGTTATACAAAATATGTATTTTTTCAATTCATGTGTATTCGTGTGCATTTTTATAAGAATATTATTGTAATCAATCATAATCATTGGAATGTCACTTGTATTTATATAAATCTTAATTATTTTAATGTTATTTCATATCATTTGGGCTGTATTGCAGCTCGAATGTTGATTTAACTATTGATAAATATTGGGTCCCTCTCAACATACCAGTTATTATCAAGGATTTCTACACTTCATCTTTCCCTGATCCCAATGGTTCTAGAATTTCGTTTTCGTTTGAATACCAAGAGTCGGGAATCCCATCGTTTTTTATTATCCGTATTTGTAAGTATTCATGTAATTGTCTACCAAACACAACACTTGTGATTAATACTAGAGTTAACTCAGCCCACAACGACATAAACAAATATTATTAAGCAAATAACGGGGGATATAATCAAGACTCAAAAAAGCAAAGAAAAGTAGACAATAAAGATAGGACTAGCACGATCCAACTATGGCTTATGAAGAGGATTTGTGGACATCGATGATGAGACAGGCGCGATCAGTGACTGTAAGAGGAGAAAGCGGCAGGTGCAGGCGGCTGCTGGAAGATGGAAGGAAGCAGCAGGTGCTGGTGGCTCCTGGAATGTGGAGCAGCAGGGGCTACGGTGTGGTGAGCATTGGGTGCGGGTGACTGCCAAAATGCTCCAAAGAGAAGCTGCAGGGGTCTGCTGGCTGCTTGAGGGTGCGGAAGTAGTCGTTGACATGGTGCCGAGAGGTGCAGGGAGGAGTCGATAGCTTGTGGGAGGGTGTAGAAGAGGTCATCAATGTGTAGGG